TTAAAAACGTGCATGATACAGGGACGTGCACGATGTAGGGATATCGGTTAATTGAGCTTGAACTTTACCGGGAATCACGGAAAATCCAGACACCAATCAAAATACTTACAACAGATAACCATCCTTTAAGGTTCTTCTTTAAATAACGGTCAGCTTAAAAATGCTGTATCTAATTGAATTCGATATGTAGTTCCTGTCAGGATCTGGGATACGCACGAAATACGAGATCTACGCCTGTTTGACGATCAGATTTCAAGACATCTCAAGACATCTGAGCTGATTTTTTTGAATCATAAGTCGGATACCCCACTTTCTGGCCACCCCCCTTTTGGGCCACTTTTTATACCCAAAATACACCAAAAATGGAATTTTTAACTTTCTTATTTATGGATAGAATTCAATGAAAATTTGTATATATATAATTTGAATCGATTTAAGCTTATTCTGAAATTTTTCGATTTTTAGGATTTTTCTGTATTGAGAGCTAGAGCTTCAAAATATCGATTTCTAAATTTATATGGGAATCACATACAAATTTAAATTTTTATAAAATCTTGAATAACTTTTAATAAAAATTGCTAAAAGTAAACTATAAAATTTTATTATAAATTTATAGTATGTTTATTTATTTATTTATTTATTTATTTATTTATTTATTTATTATTTTACATCCGGGGGGCAAGCCACAGGGGCTCGCCACGACCTCCCAGGGGGTATTAGGGATGGACTAAACTAACAATTCTATGTACATATAATGCTGGCATAGCCAAGCGTTCCGTTCTTCTACGGCTGTGATGCTAGTGGCAAGCAGGGCAGCTGCACTACGAGCGCTCTTGCTGCTCCATTCCAACTTGCAAGTTCGGGCTATCCAACTCATTTCATGCTGAGGAGTCTAGGGGTTGTTCGGGGCCTTTATAAAAAGGCAAGGGTTGTTAGCCGGTAAGGGCTGGGGTGATTATAGGCTGGTAAAGGCCGGAGTAATCAGACTGTTGAAGGTTAAAACGATTATAGACTGTTGTAAGCAAACGATTATTATTGTCGAGAAAAGGAGATATATTGTAATTGCTCGGGTACAGGTGGAATTACTTTTTTTAGTGGGGAGGTGGGGTAGCGGTAAAGCGGAGGCTTCTCTATATCGGGGCTAGAGAATCGGGAAGGGGGTACAATGTCCTTCTTTAATTATATACGGATAATGAGCTGTGGATTTATAAATAACTAGACTTCGAAAAAACAGATATCGATTGGGATATGGCTCTGAGCAGAAGTGGGCACTAATCACTTTACTATTGAGCCAGCCACTCCTTACGGAGAACAATGGTCTTTTTGTTATTATAGTATATTTAATATAAGAGATTCAGAAAAAATAGAAAATTTCTTATAAATAAATATTTATAGGGGTACCCTCAAAATGACAGGGATTATTTATACTACTCTAAACTCACTGTATACTATATCTTTATATCTGTTAATTTTTCTTATTTTTTTTTGAATTTCTATATAGATTTAAGTTCAAATCTTTCAAAAAGATATACAGTTTTCTTTTAATAATTGTTGTTAAAAAGTTATTGAAGGTTTTATAAAAATTCTAAATTTGTATGTGATTCCCATACAAATTGAAAATCGATATTTTGAACCTTTAGCTCTCAATCCAGAATAGTCCTAAATATCTAAGAATTTCAGAATAAGCTTAAAACGATCTAAATTATCTATATATAAATTTTCATTGAATTATATTATATATTGATAGAGATATTAATAGGCCTAAAAAGTAATTTTTGGTGTGAAAGGGTGGCCCAAAACAGGGGTGGCCCGAAAGTAGGGTGCCCGACTTAGCGATTGTTTTATAGATCTGATTTCGAATTGTTGTTCAGATTACGAGGGCGTGTTTTTAATGAATGCCGGGCTGAAATTTAAGCGAATTTCTTCACCAAAACCATGCTTTATTCTATATATTCATAATTATATAGTAATTCAAATACTCTTTAAAAAGCTTTGAAATTGGTAATTTATAAAGAGATTCAATGAATAATTATTTTGATATTTAAATTATCACCTTTCGACTTATATTGATAATAAAATTCTTTATAGAAATTTGATTTTTAAAATAAGTATTATTTCTTATAGAAATTTTAAGCATCAACAATTTAATATAATTTTTGATTTAATTTAAAGTTTCGATAAAAAAACTGAAATTATATTATTAGATTTTAGATAAAAGTATATCACCTTATAAAGATTCAAATATATAATAATATTAATTGATTTAATATTAAATTCTAAAATAAATGAATTTTGATATAGGAAAGTGCTTTGCGCACAGACCCAGCATTCAATAAAAACATGCCCTCGTACGATCTCAGGAGATATGATTAGCATACGGGCTCTTAGTTTCAGATCTGTTTGTTGTTCCTTGAATAGAATATGTGACTGTGACTGTGCCTATAACTGCCTAGGTGAGGGGTGTTACGAAGGTATATGAATTGAGTTATGTTATACCGCGTTCGTTAGCCAGGATCAGTTTGTTCGGGCAGAACGACTCTCTTAGTAGCAAAATAAAAGCAGTGTAGTAAACTTATTATATATACCTCACGAGGTCCGTGGAGGCTTTCTTTTTAGGGTATATAGGTGATCAAGACAGGCGAAAACCTTATTGTTGTAATAAGTGAGTAAATGACATACGCATTATTGATGCTCCCTGTAGTAGCAGAATCCGTAATTAACAAATAAATTATTTCGTTAATTGTATTAAAAATTTCAATAGTCAATATTATATTGAAAAAATAAATCATATAATATTAATATGATTGATTTTTATATATATATATATAATTAAAAAATTTTATTTTAAAAAACTTAAAGAAATTTTCGAAATCTCTTGATTTTTCGAAATTTTTGATTTTCGAAAGTTTTAATTTAAGATTATTTATAAATAAAAAAGTTTATTTATATTAAATTCAATTAATAATCGATTAACAATCGGATTCAATATAAAACTATATATATTATTTATTTATTTATTTATTATAGTGATTACATCTAATATCTAACCTTTCAAGGGGTATTCTAGATGTATTAAAGAGCGGGCCTGCAGGCCGCTAATATCCCAGCTACTCATAATAGTGTAATGTTAACTAATCAGGGACTTATTGTCTTTAGTATTTTCCCATTCAATATCACTTATAATAATCCTACAGCTATTTTGTTTAAAGGTTTGTGGTTCTATTTTAGAAAACCTTATTTTGTATATCGTTCAGATATCGGCAGATAATCGGGTCGACCGCTATCGATCATGAGTGCGCTCGGAGTGCTTATGGTTAGTTGGTGCGGATCTTAGGTTAATTAGGGTGGAGAGCTTGTCCTCGGGGTACTGGAGCAGAAACTATATATATTAAAATTAATTGATATTCCTATTTAAATAATATATTCTGTATTTATAGTATAGTGATAAAGCTTTTGATTATAGAATATTTTGAAAATGAATAGCAAAATATAGAACTCCTTTTTCTTTAAATTTTCGATTAATACATTATTTTATCCTTTAGCTTTTACATTTACTCCCCTCTTCCTTTACTTTCCCCACTTATTTCTTTTCTTCTTCTAGTTTTTATACTTGCTTTCTTTTTATCTATTTTTCCTAATACTCTTTAGCTAAAGAGCCTTTATTTTCTTTATATTTATTAAAATTCAATAATAAATAATTATCATTTTGAATTAGAAATATTTATCAATAATAAAGAATATATTTCATCAGGAATAAAAAAAGCTTGAATTCAATAATGTATATATCAAATATTTATATAGGAATTTATACTGACATTTTATTCGTATATAGGTAATAACTCTGTCACCACAGGGGCTAGTCGCGAATAGTCGATAGCACCATTGAAAACCCTTGGCTTTACTTTTAGGGTTTTGGTTGGCCGTCCGTTATTGTTGTATGTAGATAGCAGACGCTTTGTTTCAAAGACCGAACTGGCGAATTATCCATGTGCGTGTCACCATGCCGGTATGAGCTCGGTAACCCTAAATTCTGGGGAAATACGATTATGCTTGACAGGTACGGAGGTCGCGGTCATTTTGGAAGAGACTAGGTAGCCCTGTAGATGCCTATAATCAAGCATACTAATTGGGCACTATAGGGTCTGTATTTAGATAATTTAAGCCCACATTAAACTCAACAAGTCTATAAGCTTTAGGCAATATAGTTTTGGGTTGATCTAGAGTCCAATTGAGCCGAGGATATAAGCATTATTAGTCTAGTCGGATAGAGCGGAGATCAGATTTTATAGATCCCGATCAAATCCGATAAATTATAGAGCCTTACAGTATATATACCTGAAAGAGCCTATAATCTCTTTCAAAATGACCGCGACCTTCGTATGATTGAAACCACAGATTTCAAGGAGTTCATTCTGCAAGCGAAGTACCATAATATGCCCGGGACTTCTGTTCAATAACACGAATCAGTGCCTATATTGGCTAGGTAAAGCGTGAATAGGGTATCCCCTGTCTTAACTAACCCTATTAAAACAAACCTAAAATATACATATCAGTGATCAGCATTATAGAGGCAATGGGATCTACGGTTCAGTTGGTAGGAAGGCTCTTCCATATCATTTTGCGGACCCTCCACCAGGTTGTGAATGGTTACAATAGATGCGACTGTTAATCAAATTGACCAAGACGTCCCGCAGGCGTGGAGATTCAGCATGCAAGTGCGTTATGCGGGTGAGCCACTTGAGACATATGCAAAGAAAAGTCGGAAAAGATAACGAGATAACGATAGTCATGATACGGATATCAACTTGATTACATTCTCCGAAGACAGGTTGTCAAGAAAGCATTCAAGCATATCTTGGTTCATGCATCAGTTAAAACACTCAAATCACTTCTCATGTCACCGTAGGTCACTTTCTTTCTGTCTATCTCCAACTTTGTGCTGAAAACCATGTTAATTATGGGTTCAAACAATAGACCACAGAAACCTCCAAAGCTACGACATGCTTGTAATGAATGTCATGCAGCTAAGGTAAGAAATTATCAATACCCTCCCAGAATCGTTTAAAGTATTCATTTGAGTAGGTTAGATGCAGCGGAGAACGTACAGGATGCCGACGGTGTGTATACAACCAACAAAAATGCACCTATAGTATCTCCATGGTGGGAAAGGTACAAGGCCATCGTAGGCGGGCATCAGTCCTTAAAATACAGCAGTGACAGGAACAGCTCCTAGGCATGTTAATCCAAACGATTATTACCCATTCAAGAGCGAAAATAAATCGCTAACAAGTTCTGTATTAGATCCTGTAATCAGCCATCAACTATTTACACTTCAACAGAGATGATATCCGTGGCAAGCGCGGACGTCATACATAATGAGGCCAACGGCAATAATCTGAACAGCAAGCAAAACGGTATACCTGTGGAGAGTAGTGAGGGCATAACTTCTTCACCTGCGCATTGCAGCATTCTTCCGGGGGAAAACAACGACAAAGTCACCTCAAGCTCGGCACTAGAGAATTTCTCAACGAGTTTGGAAAGCATAGATACATCATCCCTGGAGACTCTAATGATTGAATACGAATTCTCATGGGATTTCAGTTCTGACGAAAGAGCTGATGCCCTCAATTTGTTTGCGCTCGAGAACCCCTCGTATGTAGATAGCATGAGGAATGGGGAATATGGAGACTTCGAATTTGACTTTTCAATTCATGAACTTCCTACGACTACCAGCTCGCAAACTGCTGGTCCAATACCGATTTCACCAATTCCTACATTCCATCCTCGGAAAAGGACTCATTCAGACTCGTCAGAAAAACAAGCTCAACACGCTCAAGATGATTTGCGATGGAGATCTCAATCTCAATCATATACGCATCCAACAATTTCAACACACCATCATAATCATGGCTTCTCCTGTGAGATGTATGAGTATCCGGAGAGTAGTGCTTTCTTCGATGCAGATTGTGGTTTTGATCGAGGTTTCACGTCCCACTCAACGAATGCAAATCACCAAAGCATGAATCGAATGCCACAGACTACACACAACAACAAAATCTCATTTACAGCTCAATCTCATTACATGGCCTGTCCTATACTTTCTCCGGTCACACAATATGAAGATTCTTGGCGCCTCACATCAAAATGCTTCGTTATAATCAGCAAACTCCAGAAATTACTTCGAGATCCATCTTCTCTATCTCTCGATGTAATCCTTGCTACCAACAAAAGTGCAGTATCTGAGCTGGCTCAAATGTTTGACAGTACACTGTCTTCAAACACAGCAAGAAGTACAAGCCCGGAAGACTTTTTCTCTATTCATTCTGGGATCCAATCCAGTAGTAGCTATAGTTCGTCACAACTGATAGAGTTCACCCCTTTAATGATTTCTGTGATTGCGTTAAAACATATCCACGATCTCTACTCGCAAGCTTGCTTCATATTTACTCTAGACGACCCTCGAAGACGCTCGCCCTCCGCTCCATCACCTCGAAACACTCCCTCCATCTCCAGTTCCCCATCCGCAATTTTTTTCGGGCTTCCACAACTCGATTTTGGCACATTCAAAATCGACATTGCTAATCAAAAAAGACTATTCTCAGAGATTATAGCAAGGGAGCTTGGAAATTGCCTGAGTGCTTGTACGAGACTAAGGAGTTGTTTCTTGATGCAAGCCCGGTAATATAAGTGCTCCGACAGGGTGATGGAAAAAACGTTTTGGATATCGAAGAGGGATTGCAGACGATGATAAAGCAGGTCAAAATATGATCTATGAGAAATGGCCAGGGAAGTCAAGGTATTGATATGACTTTAATGTGGCGTTTTTCGTTTCCTTTTTGCATTTTAATTCTCGGTCTAGGCGCGGGATGATTAGAATCAAGTTCACCACTTCCTTTTGTTGTATTGTAGTAAGTCTACATATTACTTTATGATATACTATTACAAATTGGGCTATAGAATGAGTTTACTGGGTGTCGTGAATTAGCCTAATCAGTCATCTCTGTTTTCGTATATCAATAGAAACATCTATAATGTTTCATGATTACAGATACCCCCTTAACAATAGCTAAATGATCTGCCTTTCATATTTCCCTGGATGTTATTGATTTTGGCTCTTGATTAGTTCTATCAGCCTCGTTACATATACGATCATGGTTGACGAGTGATCTTTGAGCTTCAACGGATCATATTATCAGCAACTCCAGGCAGTAATTTCACATCAACAACGTACTAGTTGAAACATTGTCCAAACCCTCAATCATAGTATGCCCCGACTATAGAGATGAGAACGAGTACTCACCACATGAGGTATAGTATTTTTATGATACTATTTCCAACATTCTTACTCTAAATTTACTATTATAAGCTTTATATTAAGGACAACTCCTCGAGATGTAAATAGAAAAGACAATGAGGCACACTTCTGATTAGTTTGTTTTATCTACTTTTTTCGTATAAAGACAGAGTGCTGAACTATATAATACTCCATCTGACTCTTATAAGAACAAGGCCTTTCTATACAAAAATATTTCGTAAGTTATATAAAACTTCCACATAAACAAGTTGAGTGGAATAGATTCTTTATGTCTTATATTCATACTTATATCGCGATACTTTGATATACATTTGATTAGTATAATAGAAAGCTTCTTTTACAATTTATAGTATTCTCAAATCAGTAAGGAATAAGATAGTGAAAATGGTTACTTTACTACTGAGTCTTGTACTTAAATTTATAATAGAATGAGTAGTTACTGTAAAATATCAGAACTTACATGAAATATACATACTGAGAAGCCCTTTATATTTATTCGATTCATTACTCCATAGAATCTTCAAAGATATGACAGAGTAAAGTTACATTGTTTATACAAAACTTTCTATAATCATGCAACTTTGATAATGTCGAGCATGAAACTTCTTCTGATTACTGAGTAGTCATGAGAAATACGCAACGCTAGGAGCTTAGTTACTTGGGTCAATCGAGGGGCAAAATCTCATTACACAGTACCATTTCAGAATACTTATAGAAGGATCAAAAGCAATTCACACAAACTGTAATTAAACTCCATTATAATTTCAAAAGTCTACGTATACATCGACTATTGATGACCGAGCTTTAGTTATCTATTTTATGTGATTTCAATCTCAATTGAACTACGTTCTTTAGCTAACCTCTAGAAAACTCTAACGGTTATTTATAGTACTTTGCTTGTTCTAGGCGCATATATCCAGGATATAGACCCTTATTTTGACATAGGGTTTCAAAAAATTATCTTCTACTCTGTAGAGTGAGTACCTAGGTTTTCATAGGTATGTAAAAGATTTTTTTGAGAGAGTAGAATGGCTTTGTTGTACCAGTAAGGCACGTGCAGTAAGTTTATCGTCGCATACCATCGGGCAAAAGTGGGCGTCTAACGCTTCAAGGCAAGGGCTACCCCTGAGCCATGTCATGTGCATGACGAACTTAAAAAATCTTCACTTCGTTTCTGCTTTGACGAGTTTGGATACTCATCCGCAACTTACCCAATGCTCAACTTTGCCGTTCTACACTTCGCTGATACATTATCGTCATAAAACACAACGACCTGACACATGTTCTTCTATTGGTTTTTGCAATCTCGAAGACCAGATGCAATCCGCCATCTCCATCTGATTTAAATTCGCTAGATTCGTCAGTACCCACAATGCTGGCAGAGTCAGTTTCGTTGACATAAAAGATCCACCCAGTGGCCGTAATAGTGGTTTTCGAAATGCAAATCCATCCCTATCTACAACCTTGATTTTTCAATCACCTTTAAATACCTTTGATTCTATTTGTTGCTTCGTATACAGTCTTGATTCATCAAGATAACTTTGAATGAATGATCTATTGTGATTCCATTGCTCGAGTATATTCAAGGGCTCTCATCACACATCCGAGGTGTTAAGCAACCCTTGAAAATGTTGAGATAGTGACAGGAGTCATTGAACGCGATCCACTCCCACACACATCCCACAATTCCCTCCATGGTGCCACCCGAGTCCCAAGCAGACAACAACGGGGATATCGCCCGGAGAGATGCTCAAATCACTTCATTACTGCGGAGGGCAACCGAAGATCTCTCGTAATAGTTTTGCGAAGGTCCATCGTGCTTTCCTCATCCACGCATTTCTCAATTCTGCTGTATAAAAAGCAAATGTAATCCTTTTCTCCCGTATCTTTCTCGGGCATACTGGGTTAGTGACCATGCACTCCTCCCATACCTTTTTATAATTCTGCATTACCCCCTCCCTCGACTCGACATATTTTCACTTTTTTTCTGGCCCACTTCTTGTACATACAATACTCTATAAGTCATCCTTACCGTGCTTTCTTTCGCCCAGCACCAAAGGGACCCTTCACCTCCCATACCCAATCCCCATCTCTCATAAAAATCGAAAACCATGAGTGCAATCCAAGATGAGCAGAACAAGATCGAATCAGGTGATGCGAGCAAACAGTACACGCCGGACTCAGGTTCGCACCACACGCAAGACAAAGAAGGAATCATGGGAGAGACTGCCGCGCTAGAGGCGCACGGGCGTGCGAATTTCAGTCGACTCGGCTGGAAGCGGCTTACTGTTATTCTACTTGTGGAAGCTATTGCGCTCGGTGCTCTATCTATTCCTGGAGCCTTTGCTACGCTGGGTATGGTAGCTGGGGTGATTCTCACCGTCGGGATTGGATTGATTGCGATCTACACCAGTCATATCATAGGGCAGGTCAAACTGGCATTTCCACATGTGGCGCATTATGCGGATGCGGGGAGGTTGCTGATGGGACGGTTTGGGTACGAGCTGGTCGGGGCGATGTTTGCGTTGGAGCTGACGTTTTTGGTGGGATCGCATTGTCTGACGGGAACAATTGCGTTTCTCAACTTGTCGAACAATGGCGCGTGTTCAGTGGTGTTTGGGATTGTGTCGGCTATTATCTTGTTGGTGTTGGCAATTCCCCCTTCGTTTGCAGACGTAGCCATTCTGGGTTATATCGATTTCGTGTCAATTATGCTCGCGATCGGCATTACTATTGTGTCTACCGCTGTAGTATCTGGTTCCTCGGCCGGGGGATTGACGCAAGTGGATTGGTCTGCGTGGCCTAAGGAGGATCTCTCTTTCTCGGATGCGTTTATCGCCATCACCAACATTGTTTTCGCATATTCATTTGCCGTGTGTCAATTTTCCTTCATGGACGAGATGCACACACCACGCGATTACATCAAATCGATCTGGGCGCTCGGCTTAATCGAAATCGTCATCTACACACTCACAGGAGCATTGATCTATGCCTTTGTTGGGCAGGATGTACAATCCCCTGCACTTCTCTCAGCCGGCAATCTCATGGCCAAAGTAGCATTCGGCGTCGCACTACCCGTCATTTTTATCTCGGGCTCTATCAACGGCACTGTGGTCGCGCGCTACATTCATGGACGCGTATACAAGGACTCGGTGGTACGCTTCATCAACACGAAGAAAGGCTGGCTGACATGGTTGGGGCTAATAAGCTTCCTCACGATTATTGCATGGGTCATTGCTGAAGCGATTCCCTTCTTCTCGGATCTGCTGTCCATTATGTCAGCGCTGTTTGTCTCTGGATTCACGTTCTACTTCCCGGCTATGATGTGGTTTATGTTGATTAAGAAAGGAAAGTGGTATGCGCGCGAAAACTTGTTCCTGAGTGTGGTGAATGGGGCAGTATTCGTCATTGGGATTGTGGTTTTGGTTGGTGGGACGTATGCAGCAGTGGAAGACATCGTAAGTTCTTTTCTTTTAATCCTCGTTAGAGGGGGGCCGAGGCCGAAGTCGATCTCTTGGCTGCGTTGGCTCTCTTGAGAAGATGTATGGTTTGTTAATACAATGTTTGCAACAGAAAACCCAATACGCCGAAGGAACAGTCCGAGGAGCGTTTACATGCGCACCAATATCGTAGGGGTTGAAGTAGGGTTGAACAAGTTTTCCTCAAACAATTTGGTATGGAAATGCATTTATATCTCTCTCCTCTCCTGAGATGAATAAAGAATTATAAGGATAGAAATAACACGACCTTAATGAAATTAATGAAGATTCACGTCAAATTCCTCGGTTCTGTGAGCTTCAACGTATTATGCATTGTATCTTTCGAACCCTGAGAGAGATTCCTCTACCACTGCCAGTGCGACTTTATTTCGGCATTTGTGGAGCAAAATGCCCGGTGGGTGAGATGTTGGTGTTGGGTGACAATATTGAGATTAAGAATTGGATCGGTAGATGAATAAATGGTTCGTCGAATGTTGAAGAGGCTGAATCGTACTAGGCTGTGTAACGAGTATTGGCGTAGCGGACAATGGCCCTGACGAGTAATCCACAGATGATACGTTAGCGGAGCGGATAATTGAGAAACTTAAACGAATAATTGGTGGAGCGGGCGAAGCCTCTGACATGTAATTCACGAAATGGACCATTCACAAAGATTCGACGGTTGAGACAACTTTTGCGCAGCGTGAAGAATCTACAGATTACTTTCCTTACTTTTTTTTCATCCTCGGGTTTCCATCTCACACACTCTCGCCCACTCACTCGCGTGTCTGTTTGTTCGTATCACTCCCTTTTAATTCATTCTAATTATCATAGCCCACCCGACCACTCACGCAATGACTTTATACTCACATCTTTACATCTGAAAGA